AAAAAAAAAAAGGCAAAAATTAGAGGAGCGAGGAGAGAGAGAAGAAACCCTCGTGGAAAGAGCTGGAAGCAGGAAAGGATCATGTGGGAACTGCTGGTGGGGAGGGGGCCCGTGGAGGTGCCGCCGCGCAGTGTTAGGCTGGGGGGAGCGGGGGACCGGGGCCTGGCTGCTGCCTTCCTCCCCCTCCTCGTCCTCCTCCTCCCGGGCCCKCTGCCCTGGCGCCCCCGGCCCCGCGGCGCGTTCGGGGCCCCCCGGGCAGCGGGTGGGGGTCGTTTTTTTCCCCCCTTTTTGCAATAATTCCTGGCCTCCCTTCGCAGGGCTGGGGCGGCCCCCCGGGGCGTGGAGCAGCCCAGGGGCCAGGGTGAGGGACACGGGCGGGGGGCTGCCTTTGTACCCCCACCCCCCGCCTCCTTGGGCTCTCCTCAGCACYAGCGACTCGTCCTGTCCAGCAGGCAGCATTAAAAAAAAGGAGAATTCCTTTAAAGCGCTGGTGTGCGGGCCGGGGGCGCCGCCGAGGTGTCCCCCCCGCCAGGACACCCGCGCGGGGCCAAGGAGCACAGGGCACAGCAGGGCTGAAACCACTAGAAGTTTTAATGAATCGCGGCGTGACTACAAGAATAAAGGATACCTGAGAGCCTCGCGCAGTGCCGTGGGGCGGGAGCGGGGCGGACGCGGCCCCCTCCCCAAATGAGCCCCCTTTCCCCCCCAGGCCGCCCCTTAGCACAAGTCCAGCTCAAGGCACTGAAGTGCTTGAACCCCAAGAGCTCCCCGAGCCCCCGGGTTTCGTTTCCTCCTCAAACGCGGAGGAGCGGCGGGGGCTGCTCTGCGCCGAGACGTCGTGTACAGCGGCCCGCGGAGCCGCTCGCTCTTCTCCTCCGGCCTCCTTTTCCAAACAGCCTCCCGGCCTCCGCTTGCAGGGYGGGAGGCCGAAAGCCGCCCTGCTCTGCCCTTAAGAAGCCCCCCCAGCGCCAGCAAAGCGGGGCCGGGCCGGGGGAAAGAACAAAACCCAAACGAGGAGAGCGGCTGGTTTCGTTTCGGTGCCTTTAGTGTATGGTACAGCTTTACACGGCGGGTTAGAGGTTATTCACAATGCAAGGAGGAGCCCCCCCCGTTAAGTTACGGCAATAATGACTCACACGAACACCCTACCCCAAGCACAGGCGCTAAACAAACAGGAACGGGGAGAAAAGTGTCTTTTGGGGGTGGGTTTTGTTGCTGGTTTGGGCCGTTTTCCCCCCAAACGTGGGGAAAAGGGCCGGGAGGCTCCGGGCTCCTCCGGTGCTGCGGGGTTGCGAGGAGGAGGAGGGGGAGGAGGGGGAGCAGGGAAGGCCGAGGCCCGGGGGGGCCCCTGGGTGACAGCAGCTTCCCTTGGGAATAGCGGCTGGGAAGGGTGCCCCTGGGGAGCCCCGGCCCTCTCCCCTCCCCGCCGGGCCGCCGGGATGTGCGGCGGCTTCTCGGGCGGGCGCCGGGCCGGGATGAGCGTCGCGTTTCCTCYGCGCGGCACCGGCCAAATACAAAAAATCAGCAACGGGAGAGAGGACAAGAAGGAAGAAAAACCCGAGGCGGCGGCGGCCGGGGGCTCGACGGACACGTCCCTCCTGCCCGACCCGGCGGCCTCAGCAGGATTCCCAAGGCGGCTCCCGGGAGAGCGGGCGATGCAGCAGTCCCGATGGAAGAGGCCAGGACTTACGGTTGCAAACGGCAGCCCCGGGCCGGGGGGTTCCCTTCTGCCGGCCTCATCCCGCCCGACGGAGCGGAGGGACAAACTTGGCTTCCACGGTCGAGCTCCCCCCGGGCAGGGCAGCGAGTCCGGACCCTGCCCTTGGCTGGAGAAGAAAAGGCGGCAGCCAAAAAACCTCCAATTTGCCCCGTTCTTGCTCACGAGCCGGGGAGAGGAGGCGCCCGGATGGGCAGGGCCATTAGCCGGGCGCATGCGGGAGCCGGAGCGCAGGGCACGAGCCGGGCGCCCRGCTCTGCTTCCCAACGCGGGGCATCAGCCGAGCGGCTGCGGGCGCGAGCCGGGCTCCGGCTCTCCGCTTCCGAGGGCGATGGGGAGCCCGGGGCGCTCCGCGCGGGCGCTAGTTCTCGGGGCTGGCGTTCTGCCGCGCGCGGATGAAGGCCATGCCGTGCGTGCGGAAGTGCGTCTTGAGGTTGAGCTGGCTGTCGAAGCCGCGGCCGCACACGGTGCAGGCGAGGCTGCCGTCGGCGGCGGGCGGCGCGCCGGCCTCGCGCGGGCTCCGCGGCGCCGGCTCCTCCGCCTCGCCCGCCGCCCCCTTCTTCTTCTTGTGGCTGATGAAGCGGTGGCGGTTGAGCGAGACCTGCGAGGTGAAGCAGAGGCCGCACTCGCGGCACTGCTGGGCGCTCTCGTCCGTGCGGTGCTGCGGGATGTGCTCCTGGAAGTCGGCCGCGCTGCTGGCCACGTAGCCGCACTTGCGGCAGCGGAAGGGCGCCTTGCGCTCGCCCTTGGGCGTCTTGGCGGGCGGCGTGGTGCTGTCGGGCTCCTCGCTGCACGAGTCGCCCTCGTCCGACGACGCCTTCCGCTTGCGGCCGGACACCTGCGGGAAAGGGCGGGAGAGGCTGAATCCCGGCAGCTCCCGGCAGCCCAAACGGCTCCGGAGCTTCCCCACAGGCTCCTGGTTTTTGCTCCGAGAAAAGGCCCAACGGGGCAAGTGCCCCGGTGCCCYGGGGCTGCCAGCGTCGCCCTTTTTGCCCCTGGGGACAGCTCTGGGACCACCCCAATTGAACGATGCAACTTTGGCAGCTTTGTCCCGCTCCGGCCACCCTGATCCCAGCCGGACTCATCGAGCCTGGCTGCCCTGGAAGAGCCCAACAAGTCCTTGGGACCGGGTCCCCGAAGTCCTGGGACGGAGCCCGTGTCGCTGGGGCCGGAGGGAGCCGCCAGCTCCGGCCACGGCAGCAGCGACGCTGGATGAGGGCTYGCGGAGCGCCCCGGGCACCGGGGAGGCTCCTACCTGCGCGGCGCCGGTGCCGATGCGGGCGATCACCACCTCCTGGCTCTTGGCCTGGTCGGTCACCTTGATGCCGTGCCGCACCTGGATGTGCTTCTCCAGGATGAGGCGGCTGCTGAAGGTCCGCTTGCCCTCCGTGCAGTACCTGCGGGGCCCGAGCGGCAGCGGCTGCAGCGAGGACGCTCCCGAAGCCCGGCGCCCGTCCGGCATTCCTTACGGGATACAAAGCCCTCCCTCCCGCTGYCTCCCTCCCCTCCTGTTCTTAAGCTAAATGCCCGCTCGCAGGCAGGACCTGGGTGCTGTGCCCTCCCCGTTGGCTTCAACCACCCGCAGTTTCACCCCAGGCGCCTTGGTGGAAGGAAAGCAAAGCCCCCTTCCCCCMAAAACAAGCCCCCTTTTCCCAGGCAAAGCCTGGGGGTGACGGGGTACCGGCAGGGGTAGACGCGCTTGATGCCTTCGTGGTTCACTCGCACGTGTCTGCGGAGGCTGGGAGCGGAGCAGAAGGAGCGCTCGCACAGGCGGCACGGGAACTTCTTCACCGACTGCAGGGAGCRGAGGCAGGGAGCGGGTGAGCGGCGCCCAGAGCCGGCACCTCCACTGGGCCGCTCCGGGACGGACACGGGGGCTCGGCACCGCCCCGCGCTCCCTCTCCTTTGGGAGCATCTGCATTGCTGCTCCCCGGGACAGGGAACGTCCCTGCTCCTYCGTGGCCCAAAACACCGAGAGCCCCTTAAATTCACAGCTGGGGAGAAGGAACGTGCGGACGGGGGCAGCCCGTGCAAATAAATATTGCCCCCCCACATTCCCAAGAGAACCGGCCTCCTCCTCACCTTGCCGTGATCCTTCTTCATGTGGGAGACGTACTCGTCGCGCTCCGGGAACCACGAGTGGCAGACGCCGCACGTCCAGCCGCTGCCCTTGGACTTGCTGGCGGGGTCCGTCTTGCGCTGGAAGCGGCTTCGCTTCGTCTTGCGCAGCTCCGGAGAGCTCGGAGGCTCGTCCTCCTCCGTGGAGGACGAGGACTCCTCCGAAATCTTGGACACGGGCGTTTCGACCGGCTCCTGCTTCGGCGTGAGCAGCACGGCCGCCTTCTTCGCCAGGTCTTCCTTGGGCTTCTGGGGCTGATGAGTGTTCTGGAAAGACAGGAGTGTTGGATGTTCATCGAGGCTGGGAGTTGGCCCAGCACAACCCCCCCCGATAGCCCCAGCTCCCCAAAACCCAGGGCCTTGGGTTCCTCAAGGGTGGGAAGAGGAACCCCAGGGAGAGCGGAGGGTGGGCTGGGCCGCAGCGTCACCTTGAGGTGCTCCAGCATGGTGCGTTTCTGGGCGAAGAGCAGCGGGCAGTCGGGACACTTGAAGACGCTCACGCGCTGGTTGAGGAGATGCTGGTCGAAGTGGGAGGAGAGCAGGGGCTTGTGGGTGAACACCGTGTCGCACATGGCACACTTGTAGATCATCCTGTGGGAGCAACGGAGGCCAAAGAGAGTCAGCGCCGCGCACAGGGGCAGCACGGAGCGCTTGGAGGGTCCCTGTCAGCGAGGGCGGATCTCCTTGTCCCAGCACATCGCCCAGGACCACGTCCAGGTGGCTTTGGAGCAGCTCCAACGAGGGAGACTCCACAACCAGCCCGGTCCAGCGCTCTGGCACCCTCCAAACCAAGACACGCCGACACGATCCCCTCTCTCCCAGGTTAAACAGGAGCGACGCTCCGGCGCCCTCATTTCCCGGGAGATTTCCTCCGGGAGGACGCCCCACCACACGGGCTCACTTGGACTGCTGGTTGCTGAAGCCGGGGTGCTGCGTGTAGACGTGCGCGTGGGCGCTGGGCGCCGACTTGAACGCCATGGGGCAGATGGGGCACTTGTGGAACACCTCGCAGTGCGACGTCTGGATGTGCGACTTGATGGAGTTGACGC